ATCTGGAAAGCTGGGGTAAAAGAGGATCCCAACTCTCTGTCCTGGGCATTTTATCTTCTACTTGTCTTCTCGAATCTTGTGGGTTCCTGCTGTCGACAGGAAAGCACAACTATCAACTTGGAAGAGATAGGAGATACTTTTCTGGAGCCAAGTGAGATTGACCATGGACTAGGAACACAGATTCTGGCTACCACCAGTTCCGAGTTACAACACAGTAGCAGTTGCATGGAATTTTACAGTAACAGGACAAAGAAAATCATAGCTCAAGATCTCTTTCAAATACATTAGTGGGAACAGCAGATAGGTGAGTTACAGATGAACAGAAAGCCTCGGGTGTTCTCTGACACTCTAGGCTTTATGGTTTACAGAACCTAGGGGTCTGTTTGATGTTCAGGAGGATCTCCATCCTAGTCACAAAGGTGTCAGATCACATACAGCAGTGGGCAGCAAATGACTATATTTAAAGGCCAAGATAGTGCAGGATAATTTGTCATTTGGCCCCGGACCTGCAACATTCCAGCCTCTCTGCAGTCATTGCGTTTCTCATCATCCTGTGGTCAAGCAGGTGTGTCTTCTGTTCAGGATATCGGTTTGCACTACAGTGCCTGTGTGTTATCTTCGGGAGGAGGGAAGAAGCATGAGAGCAGTCCTGTCTCCGACTCTGCTCAGTCATTACTTCTGGGAAGAAAACCCAAGTTGCCCAGGAGTTTATTATGCAACTGCCAACACAGACCTGGTTTTGTGGCAAATTGCCTGTCATTATTAATTGTAGCCTTTACATAGCTCCTCTCTCTTGTTTCTTCCATTTGCTTGGAAAGAAAGGAATTATGTAACCGATGTGATCCAGGCAGAAGAGAAAGCGCTTATTTAATCCACAAGACTATTAGGTAACTACTGAAGAGGGATTCACCTCAGGTGAATTTTTCTTAGTTTCCACCCTCCCTGCCCCCTGGTGACAACTCAATTCCTTTTAGGGTGCACTAATTTCAAAGCCCTTTGGAAGTTATTTTAAGGTATGGTGTAGGCACACTAAGTATAGCATGTTAAAGCTGGTGGGATAAATGGGGAAAACCCATTGTTTTACTTAGAGCTCATTCCCTTTGACATGGATTATTTTTTTTTCAAAAAGGTGATAGTTATGAAAATTTCCCACTTTAATGAATAACAAAATGCCTAGAAGAAAGGAATAGAACTAAAACTTGTGTTCTGCCTGAAATACTAATCGGAAGAAAAATAAGGAAGTAAAAATGTTTTCTTCCAAATGATTTTTTTTTCTAATGTGGAACAAGGTAAGTACTGACTAAAACATCTAGAAACTGGAGCTATCTGAAGCCATTTAAAGAAATTTCCTTCAGTAGTTTCCCCAGGAAACTGTGGATATCTCCTGTGAGCAGGACTAGGCTGGTATTCAGTAAGTGGTCCTTTTCACTGTTTGCATGTGTCTTTCATCCCCATTCAGTCTGTACCCCAGTTTCTCTTCAGTACACTGGGTAGAAGGTGTCAGTAATGTTGTGCATTGCATAGAGGCTTATAGGAATTTAAAAGTATTGGGAAGGCTTGTCATCCCGGGAAACATGCACAGATTGTCTCATAAACACAGAGTGCTAAGTGAAGCCACACGACTTTCAAGAACGCAAGTCTCCCATATTGATGGTTCCTGCCCCTGCTTCAAGACCATAGGCACACCCTCCCCTCTTCACCTTCTTCACCTGCATAATGACACCTTATATGTGAGGTCAGGTTCCCAGGGAAGACTTCCATCAACTGCTGCTCTATTTTCGATCCTTTCTCTTCCATCACTTTCTATAACATGCCCCATACAGAACCTTGCTGTATGCACAAAGCAACATAAGGCAGTGGAGGAACGAGAAATTCTTCAATGAATGCAGAAGTAATAAGAGGTGGGGTTTTCTGCTAGCCTGGATCTCACCAAGTAATCTAGGGCAGCTGCCCACTGAGCAGCAGAAATCCGCCTGTCTGCCCTGCCCAGCACTGCTGTCTGTGCTACATAAAGAACTAGAGGGATTTTCATTTGTTTTGTGGTTTGAATGGTTTTGCCAGATATCCTTATTGTTTTTTTTAACCCACCTCCTTTCTTCTTCTATATTGACCTCCCCCCCTTTCCATAAACATCCTCCTCTTTTCTCATTTTCCCTATCATATCACGTGTATCCTGCTAGTCCACTTTACCCTCCTTCATCTTCTTCTAACACACCAAACTAGACAGAGAAAATCCCATGAGGCCTCAACCCTCCACAAAGATCTAGAGGCAACTGAGAAAACTGGGAACAGCAGTGGTGGCCCTCCCCAGGGAAGAGCACACCAATTGGCTGTTCAATGCCAAGCAGTCAGCCCTGAAAACATGCATATAGGTATCATTATGGACTGAATGGGCTACATTTAGTAATGTATGTGTATATACATATACAAATATGCATTCAATAACAGTAAAAATAGGCTACAAATCTGAAGGAGAACAAGGAGAGTTTGGATGGAGGAAGGGGAAGGGAGGAAATGTTGCAATTCAATGATAATCTCAAAAATAAAATTAAGAAAAAGAACTATAAATAGCTGTCTATAAGAATTATATCATTTAAAATACAATCCAAAGCAAATAACATTTAACTTTGACACTGTTTTATAGTTAAAACAAATCATGCACAGTAAGGTCACAAGATTGTTGAACATCAGAGAGGAAAGGAGACAATTCGGATGGGGAGGCTCAATATCAGGATGCTAATTTGAAAGAATGGAGGAGGAGAAAGGAGCCAAGAACAAAGTCTAAACATTTGTTTTGTATAGCAAAGAGCTCTTATTACTCTTATGAGTTATTTTCAACTCAAGTACTTGCTAATGATGTTAATTTTCATATTTCTAAATGTAAAGTATTATACTTTAATTTAGAAATTTACTAAGTATAAATTTATGTGGAGAAAGGAGTACAGGTCATCCCCATCCCCTCATTTTGAGTTAGCTGTTCCTATCATGAGAATGGTATGGCTTTTATTTAAATATGCAAATTAGAAACCTATGATAGAATGTGCTTTTATCCTATAGTTTAGTTCTTATAGCAGCAATCAGCCTTTACTAACATTATGATTTATAATAGCTGCATAGTAATTCAATATGTAGTATTATATTAGTGAAATTAACTATTCCTCAACTTTTTGTTTATTCTTGGACTTCCTTTTTATTTTGTTTTTAAATATTTTATTACTTTATGTATATGACTGTCTTGCCCACATATATGCATACCACCTGCATGCTTGGTGCCCATGGAGGCCTCAAGAGGGTGTAGGATCCCCTAGAGTTGAAGTTATAAATGGTTGTGAGCCACTGGGGCTAGAACCCAGGACTTCTGCAAAAACAAGTGTGGTTGGCTGCTGAGACGTCTCCCCAGCCCTGAGCTTTCCTTAAAAAGAACAACAACAAAATTACATTCAAGGCCATCTCAAGCCTTTCCACAGCAAAGTTCTACGTTTAAAATAATTTACTATGTTTTACATTTTCATTTATTTATTCTATGTGTATGGGTGTTTTATCTACACGTATGTCTGCACAGCATGTGCTTCCCGAAGCTAGAAGAAGGTAGTGGTACCCATAGCACTAAAGTTACAGGTGATTCCGCTGCCACGTGGGCACTGGGGACCACACCTGGTCCTCTGGGAGAGCAGCTAGTGCTCTTGACCACTGAGCCATCCCTCCAGCCCCTATTTACCATTTTAAAATGAGGTTTTATTTGGGTATGGTAGCTCATGCCTGTAATCTGAGCACTTGTGAGGCCAAAACAGGAGAATTGCCACAAATTTGAGGCTAGCCTTGGCTACAGACTGATCTCTAGGCCAAGCTTGGTTACTTAGTGACACCTTGAATAAAAAAAAAAAAAAAACTAGTATACATTACTTTAAACATGTGTTTAATTAAGAACTATTTAAGAATAAATTTTATTATTTATTCTCATAGCCTAAAATTGTGAACCACCTATAAGTGAACGTGTATGTTCACCCCAAGCTGAACACATTGCCACTCAAAAGCACATATCCACTATGATTCCATTTGCCAGAAGCCGTGGTTGCTGAAGCCTGAGCCACTGTAGCAGATTTGTGGAGTACAGGTGAGTGAAGAGAGGGAGGAGCTTGCATTGTTTAGAGATGTACGTAATCTCTAACGCTGCTACAGAGGCACATGAGAAGCAGGCCAGGTGCAGGGAGGTTGATATGCATACTGAATATTGTTTATCAGATAAGAAAATTGCTAAGCATGTGTACAGGCAACACTTCTGCTTTTGCTACCCTGGGAATTATATTAAGCTATCATTCTTTCCCGGTATTTTAATGTTTTCCTTAATGTTGTGTGCTGTCCTATCATTTAGAGAAATTGCCCAATGGTGAATTGTATGTTGTCAGTAAATTTTCTATTAAATCTTTCCACAGCTTGGGTTTCCATTTATTAGAGAAAACAGAAGTCTTAAAAATTATCACCAGCGTGCATCAGAAAATTACTAATATGCATTTTATTAAACAAGTTTCTTTTCTTCACCAGCCAGGGGATTTTGTCTGCTCCGTTAGCTTCCACTGTTTATCTCTGAGAAAGCTTTCTCTGTCCAGCATTGCTGGCATTCTGGACTGCCTCATTCTGTTGGAGGTCTGCCTAGTGCACTGAGGATGTTTAGCATATTGGTCTCAACCAAACTTCAGGCTGGTAGCATCCTGATCCTATTTATGACAGCTGACAGTGTCTCTGGGAACTTCCAAATGTTCCTTGATGCATGAAAATCACTTGTGATTGAGAACCCACTGGTTAAAGATAATACAATACTTTATTGCCCTGAAAATATCCCCACAGTTACACTTGGCACCCCCTTAGCCACTGAACTTTCTTTGCATTAGCAAGCTCTGCTTCCTAGTGATTTCAGTTTGGTGAAGTAGATTTTGGGAAGCTTTGAAATGAAATGCAGTAGGTTCTCATCTTAGTGTATGCAAAGGCAAAAGCACATCGCCAAAAGAGCAGAGAAATATTTATTACCTGCTGCAGGTGAGGAGAGCCCAAGAGTGATATCCAAAGCAATGCCCTTGGGAAAAGGAAACATACAGGGTTTGTTTGTAGAGCCTGTACGTATTCGTGTGAGAAAATATCTCAGAGTACATTCCTGAGCATGTTCAGTTAAAGATCAAGGTTCTAGATGGAAAACTAGCAGACACATTATCAGGCAAGCTTAGCTCAAGGTCATTGGGCGCATTTCCAAGGTTAAGACAGCAAAAAGGTATACTTTCAAATGTACTCAGCTTGTGCCACGAAGATGCCAGATAGGAACACCTCTGGGCATGGCCATTTTCTCCAAAAGTTTTACCTGAAACAAAAGGTTGTGTAGAAGATGCCATTAATATAAGAGTTCCCCCTAAAGGCACTTCCTTCACTTAGAAACTGACAAAATAACACCATTAGCTATCAAAAGTCTATAAACCACTCAATCATTTCTGAACATCAACTATGCAAAGACTGTTTTTGGAATGCCACCATCTTATCACATGAGATATGGAGAGACACTTTGCAGGTGTGGTCCTCTTTACAATATTGGGCTACGTCTTAGTGACACAAGGATCTGCTGGGTATCATTCTAAACAAATGAACAGCCTTAATTGACTTCTGTAGCTAACCAGTGCTTAACAAGATAAGTTCAAGTTAGTATTCAAGTTAGTTCAAAACGTTCGTTCGTGGAAACTGTTGGTGCTGTCCCATTTAGCTAGAAACAGACGCTTGGATGAGGAAGGAAGCCTCCGAAAGGCAGAGAAGGACTGTTGGCCGTGGAAGCAGCTGTCCTCACTCTCATCTTGTGCTAAAGGTTAAGTTCCAAGGGACACAGGAGCTTACACTGAATAAACAATTAACTGGCATCCAGCGTTCACTCTACCAAGGGCACTGTCTTCAGACCGCTTAAAAAGAGCGGAGCTCTAGTCCTCATGGAATTGAAGTCTAGAAGCGATTGTGCACTATTTATTTACAGCTGAAAAATATCACTAGATGAGAAATGGTCACTGCAGCCGTAGGCAGTTTTTTTTTTTGCCAGCTACCTGTTGGGTAGAACTGACAGCGGTAATGGGCATCTGAGAGTGGGAACTTTGTTGACTGGAAGAGAGCAGTAGGCTTTAGAAAGATGAAGTCTGAGTTTGGAGTAGAGATAGACACAGGAGGTGGGGAAATCCATCCTCATTAGGAATAATAAGAATCATTAATGAGGCAATGACTGTAAGTGTATGTGGCATATATTAAGTAGACCCAAGAAGTAAGGAGAGACACATGGGTCTTTAAGGTCCTGAACATCAGACTAAGGAATTTTGCTGGTGTGATGGAAGCTAATGTTTTTCCAAACTGAATTCTATGAAACGGTGATTCCAGAATATCTTCATTTAAATTGTCCTATGACTAAACAAATGAGGAATATTACACACTCAGAGCAAATGGAGATTTAAACATATACTAGAACATAAAAGCCATGATTAACTTTGTTTAAACAGCATTTCCAAATGTATTTGTCCCCAAAGTGGATGTTGGGGAGTATTTTAAGAAAAAGGACACATAGCTCTCACCAAAGTCAGGGAGCAACTCACAGAAATTTGCCACTGATAATAAGGACTATTAGCCTTGTTTTTTTAAATCAGGAAGTGTTATCAAGAGCTAACATGATTCACTATCAGTAAGTAAGCATACATGCTCACCTGATGTGTCTAAAATATTCAAGAGCTAAGTTCTTTAAGGAGATCTTTTCCAGCTCTTCTGCCATTTCAGTTTTTCATCCATTCATGAAATATCTATTAAGCAAACAATGCATGTGGTGTGCTGCACACAGTAAATACCAAAGCAGAGCATTGAGAAATGATACCTGCCCTCAGGAAGGTCAGAATCAGAATCAGAACCAGAATCAGAATCAGAAGGGATGACCTCAGGAAGGTCAGAACCAGAATCAGAATCAAAATCAGAATGGATGAAAAATATAGCATTACATTCTTAAAAGTACCTGGAAAATTAAGAAAAAAAAGATACCTTTCTACCTTTAGCTGAACAATTACAGTGAAAGAGACTTTTTCATTTCCTCTTAAATATATCATCAAGAAAGAATCATTTTAACCTAGATGTGGTTGTATGCTTCCTAATTCCAGCACTTGGAAGGCCGAAGCAGAAGGACTGCAATGAGTTTGAGACTGTCTGGAATATACAGTGAATTCCAGGCCAACCTGGAGAGAGAAAGAGAGAGAGAGAGAGAGAGAGAGAGAGAGAGAGAGAGAGAGA